CAGACGGAGTGGGGGCCACCCACGTGAAGCCCAAGTGAAACCGCGTGAACATTGTGAACACGTGAATGAGCGGAGCTTTTTTTCACGTGAGATTTGAGAGCAGGCCCACCCGACAATTTCCCAACTAGATATAGCAAATTTCTCCTAGGGTTTCGTGAGCGAAGGAGGTGCAGGAGATAAAAAGTCGGCTAATTATTTGTGCAAGCAGGGGCTAGGTTTTCGGCTGAGTGTTTCTGCTGTAGCAAAAGAAGAAGAACGCAGAATTTCAAGAGGAGTTTTGTGTGCAGGCTTTTGTGTCTTTGAGAGAGATATTTGTGAGAGGGATCTGAGAGTTTGTGTGAGGGTTTAGATTGCGAGATTGTAAACCTTAGTTATATTCTCTCCCTCTATTAGTAGATCTCCCCCTCCTTGCCCCGTGGACGTAGGCGATTTGCCGAACTACGTAAAATTTGTGTTCTTGCCGTGATTTGTAATAGCTTGTAGGTTCCCTCGACATTTCAGTCTTAGAACTGATGAGAGGAAGAGCTGATATCTCACTTTGATGAGATATCTGGCTTTTGGTTCTTGTTTCCTTTGAGAAACGAAAATTCCGTTGTGATCTAATCTCTTGTTGTGCACCTTGCGCACCGGAGGTGCTGCCGAAATTTCCGCTGCGCACAACACGGACATGGCGATCGCACTCCCTGGGTCATTAACCTCTAGCCTCTTCACCTGGAACCTCTTGAAGTAAGCTCGAAGGCTCTCTCCGGGCTCTTGCCTCATCTGGAACAACACATGAGGGGGGCAGCTTCTGTTTGGTGTTAGTTAAGAAGTGGTGGATGAACTTCCGGCTGATCTGCTGGAAGCTGCTGATGGACTTTTTTTCAAGGGCGTTTCACCAGAGCTTGGCGCTCCCTGACAGGGTAATGGGGAAGTATCGGCATTATTACTTATGCTCTACTATTCGCTGGGATCTTACTTTATTGGGCCCCGGGTTTGTCCCAACACTTTCTAGACAGTTGATATTCAAAGAAGGGGAAGTTTTCTTAAGATATTTTTTAATTAAGTTCCCAAAATCACATCTGATTAAAAAAATATAACTTATTTTCTACTGTCCATATTATATTATACCCCTGTTAGTTACTACAATAAACCACAAAGATCATCAACACACTGATCAAAATCCAACTTTTTTTTCCAATGGAGGAGGCGATCATGAGTTGGATGGATAAATCCCTTGGTATATCCATAAGCATTGATACAATAAGCTTTGGTGTCTGCCTCCTTAGTTGCCATTGTGAGGTTCATGGTATCGAATTGTATGGAAGTGCAAGGGATGGCTTGGCTGCAGTTCATACTTACTGCAAATAGGGTTTGTGTATCGAATTGTATGGAAGTGCAAGGGATGGCTTGGCTGCAGTTCATACTTACTGCAAATAGGGTTTGTGAAGTTCCTTGGTGTTGTGCGTAGCGGAATCATAATCAAATCCGAGATAGGAGAACAAATCAACAACCAAACAAGCACCATACAGGCAAGACACTAAATTTACGTGGTTCGGCAATGTGCCTACATCTACGGGGTAAAGAGGGAATAGATCTCACTAATAGAGTGAGTACAAATAGAGATTACAATCACTCAATAATCTCACAAACAAATCACTCTTGATTTTTACCTCTTCTCTCAAGCTCTCTTACAAAATTGCCCAAATAACAAACCCTAATGACTCTCTTAATCTCACTCAAGCTCTCAGAAGCTAATTTTTTTCTTGTGATTTAAGAGAGAGGAGAGGGGGCTTTTATAGCTTACATGCCCCCCTCTTACTAACAATGGCGGCTCCCCTCTCTCTCTTTGTCAACACCGAAAGCTCTTCCTCCCATTTTTGACAACAAAGCTCTTCCTCCCATTTTTGACGATAAGCCATCGAAAGCAAACAAAGGCGGCTCCCTATTTTTGACTAACAATCTCCACCTAGGTGATGTTTTTCTAATAAAATTGAGCCGAGACCAATATCAACCAAACGTCCCACTTGTTGCGTCCAGTACAAAGTAGAATCAATCCACGACAACAAGCTTAATTCATAACAAGTCGGGAACCCAAATGAGAACTATAACAAACTCCACCATGTCGGTATCAACTCGTTAAACTGGCTGCATCAAAAAATAACTTCCTACGTATTCTCTTACACAAGGAATCAAGCCTCACTACTGGGTTTACACCTTTTAGCGATGGACAATTCTGTCGCTAAAGGTCAAAATTCCGTTGCTAAAAAACCATCACCACATTTAGGGTCCCTAATTGTATCTTTAGTGATGGAATTTCCGACGCTAATTTTCAACGACGGGATATTAGCGACGGTTTTTTCATCGCTGTATTTTTTTTAAAAAATAAAAAAAAATTAGCAATGGAAATTCTGTCTCTAAAAGATCTATTAGTGACGAAATATCTGTCGCTAAAAGTTATATTTATTATTTTAATTTTTTTCCATGTCCATTTTATGTCGCTAATATCTTAAATTCCTATCGCTAAAAATGATATTAGGGACGGAAAATCCGTCGCTAAAAATAACCACTATTTTTTAAAATTATTTTAAAAAATAAAAGAATCCTGTACAATATCGATAATAATTTTAAAAACCATGTTCAATCAGCAGTATAATATTCAATCCTATGCATATATCACACATATATTTTAATAAAAACAAATAAAAGTTTCCCGACAGGTACATAAAAAATATTATTTACACAACACAAGAAAATATTTTCAAAGTTAAATTAATTACAATCAATCCTCCTGATCATCATCATCATCCTCAATACCAGCTGCACTATGACTACCCCTGGCTGCACCTTGTGAAGAAGTCCCGGCCTGCAAATATAAATCAAAGGTTAACAAGGGTGTGTAACCGTTAATAAGAGTGTGTAAATATAAATATAATTCCCCCAACACCATAACACAACACAACACCAAAACACCACAACACAACAACATAACAACACAACACCACAACACAACACTACACTACACAACACAACACAACACAACATCACAACACAACACAACACAACACAACAACGAACCACAACAACAACAACAACAACAACAACCAACCAACCAACCAACCCACCAACCAATACTACCACCACTACGCACGCACGCACCATCAACACCACCATCACATAAAAATATTATAAGTATATATTTTGGGCTTTGTGTTAGGGTTAGAGTTAGGGTTTGTGTGTAACAGTTTGTATCAGTGTGTATCAGTGTGTATAATATCATTTAGTCACAAAAAAAATCATAACTAAGTAAGAGTTATATATTTAATTCAATTAATTAAAAAAAGTAAAGTATAAATATTACCTGATCCGACATAAACCCTCTGCTATATGCCTCCTAGGCCTCCTAAGGCAGAGTCGATATGAATTGTGTGAACTCCAATTCTCTCTGCTCCTGGCACCTTCGTTCTTCCTCCGCAATTCGCTGATATGTTGTTTGCTATGACTGCCAATCTTTAATCGCTTTCAACCGCTGCTCTATCAAGCATTGATATGAACTGCTTCCTGGTGTTCCTGGTGGTGTTGCAGACTCGTAGGTGCTACTAGACTCGTGCAGCCTCTGCTCGGATCCTCTCCACTGGTATCTGTTCTTCCTACTCGGTCCAATGACAGTCTCGATGATGGAGTCCTCCTCCTCTCTATGTAACCGGGAAGGAGTGCTAGAACCGACCTGAGACTCAGACATTTGCTCATGTACCTTGGCATGTAATTTCTCCTGCGATATATCAAAATAACCCGGGCAAGACGACTTACTAATGATGCATTGTTATGAAATTGAATATATAAATGAACTGCTACTTATAGCCAGATCCTTATTCTTTGCTTTCTTCTCTTCATCGACGTAATTCAGGCTACAGGAAGTTAGAATACGATCTGCAAAATGTACGAGATCTCCCCTTCCCTATTTTATTCAAATATATCATTAACCCATAACACATAAATTATACTCAACTTGACAACTTAAAAGCTAATATATTATATACCTTAAGCTCCAATTAATGATAATGCTGTCTGAAGGACCTGGAGACCCCATGATGCTCGCAACTGCGGGATGCGTTACGGTTCCTCCTTGCTATTTCAGCTTGAGCCTGCAAAACAAAGTCAAATCAAAATAATATAGAAATTCAAACAATAAATTAAAAATATATACTTCAATAATACTTGAATTTTAGCCATGTCCCAGTAATCGTAAAGTATAAAAACTCTACTCCATCCAGACGCTCGTCAAGATGTCAGAATCTCTCCTAATCTTTTGTTATTTGAACAAAATATATTTTCTTCACCTCAAACCGCTATCTCTTGAATGATAAATTGATTTGCGTGAAACAGTAAGTCTAGGCACAAATATTATCATCAAGAAAGAAAAATCGCTTCAGCATATAAAAAAAACAGATACAAATCAGAGTATTAAACATAATAATAAACTAATAACTAATAATGATGAAAATTAAAATAAATGACTCACACATATATATCTCTAATAAACCACCAGCGCATCAATCTGCTGCGACTTCCACGTCAAAAAAATATTGAAGAAATCATGTCTCCTGGCTAAAGCGGCAAGGAAATTGTTGAAAGTATTGGCAAAGGCCCCGACAAGCACTCCATTTTCCCATCGGATCACGGCCCTCCGATGAATATTAGGGATGAGGCTCTATTCCCTGGCCCGGTACCTGCGAAATAATGAATCGGATGCCATAATGAATCAATCCATATTTGTTATTAAAATTTAAAATAATAACCAATAAACTATAAAAATCTATTCATACCTTTCAGTTCGAGGCATCTACATCTTGTTTGTTCATACCTATGCTGCGCGAAAGGGCGTAAAGCATGATAATAATCCTAATCCCCCTTCACCTTGGCCGGACCGTGGACTCGCTGATCTATAATAGAATCTAGCGGTAGTACCGCGGCTTCTACAGCTACGCTATACAGCTCAAATCTCCTCTCCTTCAATATATCTACATGCGGTGGTGGCGGTATCTCTGCATACTGTGTAGGATCAGCCTATGTCTCCACGTCATGTGGAGCATCTCCGCGTGATGTGTCCTGTGGCTGCGAGTCATGTGTAGCATCTCTGCATCCTGTGTAGTAAATGTTAAAAAAATGTTAGGCTCACATTAATAGTTTATGAAATGTACAGATATAATAAATAAATAAAAATGCCTGTTGTAGAGGCATGTGTGTTGCCTCCAGAATGTCTACCAAAAAGTCTCTCAAGCGCTTCCTTACATAATCCTTTTGTCATCTATACTTTGAAAACATAATGAACATCCAACAAAATCATAAAGGCAATAATATAATACAATGAATGTTCTTTTTAATTCATAACCTAGTATTTCATTATTATGATGATGTTGAGCCTCTACTCTGCGATCGTGTGCGGATAGCCAGCGACTGTGTGCGTGCCAACGAAAGGACTTTTCTTATAGTTTTATCGACTCCGCTGCAGACATGTTTTTTACCTTTACGCCTTGGCTCACATATAATCGCAGGTACATCAAGGCACGTTCGTGTAATTTCATCGGCCAGATTATTATTTTGTGTTAAGAAAAACTCAGCAACTGTTTCGTCGGCCAAGATAACCTCCTCATCGTGATCTTCGTCAGACACGACTTCATGAATGTAGGCTCTAGGCAGATTCTTAAGAATAACTCATTCATCATTTTTCATTATATCTTTGACATAAAAGCACTGTTTGGCGTGAGCAGCTAACATGTATTTTTTATTCTAATATATTTCCTTGTTAAGATTAACGAGTGTGAAACCATAGTCATCCTTCATCTTTTTCTGCTCAAACCAATAGACCTTAAACATCACATGACTGACTTCCTTATTAATCCCATAGAAAATCTCCACGATGTCTTCTACCTGACCGTAGCAATAGATTTCCCCCTGTATCGGATTTAGATCTTTTGCACTAGCGTATGACAGTTGAGAGAAGGAGCAGAACACACCGCTGTTTTGCGTTTGTCGTCTCTCTTCAAGACCGACGATGTTAAACCTAAAGCCGTTGACACAGTAGCCTCCATAATGCTTAACCACATTAGAAGGACCTCTGGCATATAAACAAACTCTAGCTCCACGACTCGACACAGGATGATCCTAAGGATACTGAAACTAGAGCTCTAATACCAACTGTGACGCCCCTGGGTTCACACAAGGCTGCAGTCCAAGGTGAAATCAGAGATGTCAAACCTGCCATGCACCCACACTGTGCATAAACATGTTTCACCAATCATAGTAATATCCTCTAGTAGAACCAAATAGAAGTGCAGGTACAAACAGGCAAAATAAAGGGAATAAATGTAATAGACATGATATAGAAGAGATATCTCATAAATGAAAAGAATCAAGTCTCAGCTATAATACATCTGATATCTGAATAATGAAAATGTCTCAACATGAATCAACTAAGAATCGTACTAAGGCACACTGCCTTTACAATATGAATATGAAACTCTAATGTCTGGATAAAACTCAAAACTACAGTGGAGTCTCTATAAGTAAAAATACGCGACGGCGACTATGCCAGAACTCCGTCACCCTGCGACTCTCCGAAACTCCGAACTACCTGAAAAGTAATTTAAAAAAAAGAATAACAACAAGAGCGTCAGAGCGCTACAATAAGATTTTCTCCATCCGACCCCAGGGAATGGGCTACTAGATGGAGTGAAGGCTCTATCTATTAAGCATAGTCTACCTAGATTCATTTTCCCCGTATCTAAGTAGGATTAACATTTAGAAACCTACAACACGAGACGTAGTACGTCGAGCAAAATAATCCAAACAAGGAAACCCTCATGTATATACCATAAGTCTCAAATTATAGATATCTAAACATTAATACCGAACTAAGAAAAGACAATCTAATGAAACCAATAATTAGAAATCCATAACACGAGAGTGGTACATCGAGCGAAATAATCCAAACAAGGAAACCCTCATATATATACCATAAGTCTCAAATTGTAGATATCTAAACATTAATACCGAACTAAGAAAAGATAATATAACGAAACCAATAATTAGAAATCCATAACACGAGACTAGTACGTCGAGCAAAATAATCCAAATAAGAAAACCCTCATGTATATACCATAAGTCTCAAATTGTGAATCTCTAATCATTGATCCCAACTAAGAAATAAAAAAGACAGTAAAAGAAATAAGATATCAACACATCGTATTTATAATATCTTCCACAATCACTAGAGAGATAGAATAAAATACCAACACATAATTTTGTATACTTTCAAAAGTAACATATCTCAGTCGTATAGTTCAATGATAGGTCGTATTCAAAATCGACATCTACCATACTTAGGCTATCAAGTAATTGTCTCTGTGCAACGAACTACCCTGTAGGTATCATGAACTGTGTACACGGCTCATTAGTCTCATCGTGATCTCAGTGCATAACATGAGTGCGGGACGGACTACCAAATAGGCATCCTAGAAATACGGCTCACGAGCCTTATCGCACCCTAGTGCGGGACGGACGGCTAGATCAAGCCTCCTAAAATCCGATTCAATGGTCTGTACATGTAGAATATTGACGTACTATCTCATGTAGTACTGAACTAAGCTCATCAACGATATCTACCTCATGTATAAACTGTGTATATCTGGTGTGTCGATGCACTGTCCCATATAGTACTAAGCTGTGCTCATCAACGACATCCAACATGTATATGAACTATATCTAATTCAAATATGATCAAATCAAAATTTATCATAATCCCATTGGGATTCTTAAATGTATAACATAACATATTCATGACTATACGTATAACATCAAGCGGCTTAAAACTCCGCGAACGCACCTCAAAACAGCGCAACAAAGCTCCACAAAACGAGCAGGAAAAACAGACATGATATCTGTTAGTAAAACAAGCATATATTTCTCTAGGAAAACTATTTTTAAAAATGGTTTTCTGTTTTGAAAACTAGATTCACAAATCTTTCAAATGACATAAGTTTGATTCATTTTGGAGTTCATTTGTTATCCCAAATCTCTAGTTAAACTTTATATATGTGTAGCCGTTTTTCCGCAGGATATATTATTAGTAAATATAATATATCTTTCTCTATACAAACTCTTTTTAATAATGGTTTTCTGTTTTAGAAACTAGATACATATATATTTCATTTAAAACTAGTTTGGTTAAATTTAGAGTTTGTTTGCTATGTTAAACTCTCAATTAAAGATTATATAAGTGCTGCAGTTTTCTGCAGAAAAACATATATATAGTACATCACTTAAATTTCTCATATATGAATAAAATTATGAAAAACCCTAATGATCATGATTATGATACTATCATAAACAGTAAGAAAATATTATTAATCTAGCATTTGTTTTAAGTTTTACTATCAAAAATCTGACTTTTAACACCTCAGGTTAAGATTAAAGCATGAAAACACATATTCAACATCATATTAATCATCTACACTAGTTATTTAACTATGGGGATAGGTTTGGATGAAGATAATCTTGCCTCAAATATCTATGTAAGCCTCTGAAATAAACAACCCGTTTTCTCCTTGCTACACGTCGATGATCTCACCTTGTGTCGATATTTGCTTCACAAAGCTCTCAAAATTCTTAATTTTAGGGTTAGGGCTTTAGAGAGAGGAATAGAGACTGCTAGAGTTTGAAACTCTGATGTAAAAATGATAATTTTCATGAAAACATAAGTATATATATATATATATATGCAAATCCGAAATAAACTCGTTTGACCCGAACTAGGAACCCTACTCTAACTAGGAAAATAACCTTTGGTATTTTGGTAATAACTTTCGCGTCCGACATCGGAATGAGATGATATAAGATTTTTTAGAAAGTTGTTGAAAATACCTACAGCTTTGGTATTTTGAGTTTTCGCATCATTAGTCTCCAGATATGAACATAACAATATCTACATTTAACAATCTAAGATACCAATATTTCTACTTAACCCCTAACTAAACAGAATTACTACGTCAGGCAAAAAATCCAAACAAGGAACCCCCCATATATATACCATGTGTTCCGAATGATTAGAAGTTAAGTGTCAATACCTCTATTCTAGCGTTAAATATAAATATAACCATACAAATAATCACATACATAAATCAATCCACCTTCTCAATAGGTGTAGGTAGTCGCGATGCATAACATCTTCGCGCTCCCAAGAATCATCCTCAATGTCTATACTTAACAGTCTAAAATGCAAATACCCCCACTTAACCCCTAACTAAATGGAACAAGTACATCGAGCGAAAAATCCAAACAAGGAACCCCTCATATATATACCATATGTTCTGAGTACTTAGGAGCTAAGTGTTAATACCATCATTTTAGCGTTAAGTATAAACATTACCATACAGGTAACCACAATTCATAAACAAGTCATACTAAATTTAATTTACCTGCTCAAACAGGTGTGGATAGTCGCGACGTATATCCTCTTCGCGTTCCCAAGAAGTCTCCTCAGCTCCTCTCCGATTCCACTGAACTTTAATTAAAGGTATCACCTTGTTTCTCAACTTCTTATCCTCCTTGGCAAGAATACATACATGAATCTCAATAGTAGTCAGTTCCTCCTGAATCTCGATCTTTGGTGCGTCTAATACTCGCTGCTCCTCATCGTCGCGTAGGTGCTTCTTAAGCATTGAAACATGAAAAACATCGTGTATGCTCGACATGGATGCTGGTAGGTCTAGCCAATATGAAATAGCTCCAATGCGCTCACTAATCAGGAATAGTCCAATATACCTCGGGGTAAGTTTTCCTCGTCTGTCAAAACGCTGAACTCCCTTCATTGGTGATATTTTCAATAACACATAGTCCCCAATTTGGAACTCTAACGGTCGTCACCTATGATCTGCATAACTCTTCTGACGACTCTGCACTGCAAGAATGCGCTCTCGAATGATTGCTATCTTCTCCGTAGTTTGCTTCACAAGCTCTGGTCCAAGCAATAGGCTGTCCTCTGGTTCTGCTCAACAAATAGGTAATCAACAAGGCCTCCCGTACAATGCTTCATATGGTGCCATCCTAATAGTCGCTTGGTAGCTATTATTATAAGAGAATTCGATTAATGGGATGTTGTCCTCCCACGTACCCTAGAAATCAATGACACATGTCGGCAACATGTCCTCCAATATTTGGTTCACTCTCTCCGTCTGTCCATTCGTCTGCGGGTGAAACACACTAGAACAAGATAATCTGCTGCTGAAAGAGTTCGGGAAGCTTCTCCAAAAATGTGAAGTGAAAATCGTGCCTCGATCTGACACAATCATCTCTGGAACTCCGTGTAATCTCACGATCTCCTAAATAAATATCCGTGCATACGTATCTGCCGTGTATGTCGTCTTTACTGGTATGGAATGTGCTGATTTTGTCAGTTGATCTACTACCACGCAAACTGAATCATTCCCTTTTTTTGATCTCGACAATCCTACAATGAAGTCCATAGAAATATCTGTCCACTTCCACTCCAGAATGGGTAAAGGCTGTAGGTTCCTACCGGTCTCTGATGTTCTGCCTTTACTTGCTGGCAGGTAAAGCACTTAGCTACATATTCTGCAATCTCTCTACGCATGCCGCTCCACCAAAAATGTCTCTTCAGATCCTTGTACATCTTTGTTGTGCCTGGATGCACTGTATACCTGGTACGATGTGCTTCGTCGAATAAATCCTTCTTCAGCTGAGCATTAGTTGGTATTACTAATCGGCCCTTTATCCGAAGTCCTCCATCTGCTCCAACGGTCCAATCAGCCTCTGGCTCTTTAGAAATCTCTCCCTTTCGGGCTTGAATCCAAGAGTCGTCCAACTGAGCTTTGACCACTCTGTAACTCCAAGATGGCTGTACGGATAAAGCTCCCAAAAATACGCTGCTCCCGCCAATCTCCGGTCTAAAGTCGAACTGGCTAAGTGTGTGGAGATCTCGATATAATAAACATCTCAAAGCTGCAATCCTGTGACGATGCTTCCTATTCAATGCGTCTGCTACGACATTCACCTTCCCCGGGTGATACTGAATCACGAACTCATAATCCTTAATGAACTCAACCCATCGTCGCTGTCTCTGATTTAGTTCCTTCTGAGAGAAGAGGTACTTCAAGCTCTGATGATCTGTGAATAGCTCAAACTGTACCCCATACAGGTAGTGTGAAGAGGTACTTCAAGCTCTGATGATCTGTGAATAGCTCAAACTGTACCCCATACAGGTAGTGTCTCCATATCTTTAATTCAAAGACTACTGCTGCTAGCTCCAAGTCATGTGTGGGATAGTTCTGTTCATGTGTTCTCAACTGACGCAAAATGTATGCTACTGTAGACGTATAAAAATGCCTATAGGTTCCTACACACAGCTCGGGACGAAATGCAGACGATAAGCGTCATCATCCAAGTCAGGAAAGATTATCTGGCCCCGTGAAAGCTAACGAATATACTGATGCGACATAAACATGTACCAAAAAGGTTGCAAGTGCATAATCGTGTCAAGTTATAGTATAAAGATATCGATCCCACGAGGAAGGTGTTTTGTAGGAGAAAATATAAAATTGGTTCTTATGTTGTGTGCGTGACAAATAAGATTGATGAGTGAATATGATTGTGAAGAGATTGAGAGAGTAAAAATGGTGTGTAAATAGGTGCAAAGTGTAAGTGAGAGTGGATTTGAAAAAGAATGAGTGTGATCAATAAGGTAATGAGTATGATCAATAAGGTGAGAAGGAAAAATGAATAAAAAAATCAAGAATGAAGAACAAAATTCTAGAATAAAAGAAAATACAAGAAATTAAAGATGGTGGATTCAATTATAGATATGGGTAATCTAAAATTGAACCCACTTCTTAGAAAATGGTGATTCCCTAGAGGGTTCTAGCCTAAAGGCGAATCAAACAAAATAAAAATAAACAAAAAGAAAAACTAAACCCAAGAGGGTTCTAGCCTCAAGGTGAATAGGGTAAGAAATTAAAATCTAACTACAAAATAAATTATAAAATCTAAACTACAAAATAAATTACAAAATCTACACTACAAAATAAAATTACAAAAATTAAATGCAAGTAAATAAATCTACTCTATAAGCATGAAATAAATCTAAGACAAGAGGGTTCTAGCCTCTTGGCTATTTAACAAGAAAATAAAATCTACTACAAGCATAGAAATAAATCTAAACTAATAAGCAATAAAAAAAATAAAAGAAAAATGCAAACCTTCAAATAATTCTTCATCTTCATCATCCAACAAAGAGAAGAAGAGAAAATTTTAAAGTGGTGAAAAAATTATTATTATTAATTGCAACAAAAAGTTACAATTTTGGAAAGCCTTCTCAATTAAGAGTAGTCATCCTCTCCAAAAGGAGTTACAAAAATTTTTACACCCTTAACCCCTCACTCTCTACCCCTATTTATAGTAATCATCAATGAATATGAGCTATTGGATTTGTTTTGAGCCCCAAGCAAAGCAATCTCCACCTTTCAATTTGCTTTTTGTTCTTCTCTAGCCCATGTGATTATCAAAAATCCGACCCAATTCAAGATTCTGCAGCAACCGGTCATGGAGAAAATTTGATTGCAAAATTGTCTTGTGAAAACCCGGCCCATTTCAAGTTAAAAGCCAACTCTGCAGCAAAGTCCAATGGCATTTGATTTTCGACCCATTTGGTTCATAAGAGAAAATGAAAATCATGTCCGGCCCAATGATGTTAAAAGCCCAACTCTGCAGCACCATCAAGTCTGGCCTATTTTGCATCCAAGTCCGATCCTCATTATGATTTTCAAATTCAATCTCCAGCTGCCATCAAGTCCATGCATAGCTTCCTTGGTGTATTTTTTTGATGGGCTTTGCTCTTTGGGCTTCAATCATTTTCCTCTTTTAAGCTTTTGCTTTATGGGCTTCTAACATGCTAAAAATAGAGAAGAAAGATTTTGAGGGGTTTTTATATTTAATAATATTTATTTATATTTTCATTCATTTATGTGCAAACTAAGCTAACAACAATTATTAATTGTATATTTATTCATGTAAAATAGATAATGAGGATATAAAATTATAATAAAAATATGATTATCAAATACCCCCACACCTAAACTTTTGCTAATCCTATAGCAAAGAAAAAAGAAAATTCTAACTCACTTTCGTAGGAATCGCGGTTGTATTTAGCTCATACAACAAGCCTTTAAACCCCTAGGTTACCCTAGTGGACGAGTTGTAGTGTCGTGAGGGTTTGTAGTGAATATACCCACAAAATTCGGTCAACTTGCCAAATTAAAGAAGTCAGTAAATAACTAAATTCATCTGATAACTTTTAGATAATCTAATTGGAGCCAGTTATCACTCAAGAAAACATTTTTATATATAACTCTAAGGTATATTTTCAAGAAAATCTTCTCATTGTACCAATACAAAACCAAGCCAAACTTAGAAATTTAATTTAAAAGTTTTGAAAAGAACATGCTAACTCTTTGTTTTAAATAATTTTCAAGTTGCTTGATTTAAAATATTTTCCAAGACCATATATACAACTATAAAACATTTATTAGTTTTTTTTTAAAATTTTTTAACTCTTTCTTCCTTGGTGATTTTTTCTACTTTAACGGGCTTTCTAAGTGACCAATTAACGAGTTTTGGGCCAATGGATCCCAACCCAAATGGGTTTAGGTCATTAAGTATGGAAATACTCCTTGGGCTTAATTACTCGGTCAGCTTAGGCTTTATAAGATAGAATCACCTAGAATTCAAGAGTATATTTTTTTCTTTTTGGTGCCCATTTTTCGCACTCTTCTTTTGCAATTTTTTTTTATATGTATATATATTTTGAAAATATTGAGGAGGATGAAAACAAAATTTTATTCTTTTTTTATTCTTTTTTTTTTCTCTTTTTTTTCCTTTTTTTTCCTTTTCTTTTTTTTCTTTTCTTTTCTTTTCTTTTTTTTTCTCTTTTTTTTCTCTTTTTTTTTCTTTTTTTTAACTGAACAAGAAACTCTCAAATGAGAGAAGAATAAATTCTTTTTATTATTCTGAAATAAACAAAATAAACAATGTAGAATGAAATATTCAACATGAAGAGTTCATGTTCTACATTGAATCCTACCTTACTGTTGAAAATTCTTCCCCGGATTTTAAACAAATTCAGAATGATATAATCAATAATATGAATTTCCAAGCATTTCGGGGTGTTCAATAATTCTTGCACAAAGGTAAGGTAGGTATTATTGGTGTCATGCATTTTGCATTTCTTAATGAACTTAGACTCTTGTACTGTGAAGTTTTATTTTTTAACAACCAATTCTTCTATGAAGTTCTGAAAATTTGGTTGTTGATTATTCTCCAAGAATCTAAGTTCATCAAGAAAGAGTTCTTCAAAATTTAATTCAAAGCAGCAAATGTTTAACACAGTTTTATTATTCTCAAGGATCTGATCTGCTTCTTCTAAAAATTCTAACTCTTCATCAAAAATTTCCTCAAAACTCAAATCAGACTCTTCTTCTTCTTCTTCTGATCTTTCCTGAATGTAGTTTATTTCTAGCTGATTATTTGGTTGGTCCCCTGGATTAAAAATGTTGAGATCAGCAGTCAAATTCCCAAAGGACAGCTTCATTTGACCAGTTCTACAGTTGATGAGAGCATTAGAAGTGGCTAAGAACGGTCGTCCTAAGATAACAGGTGTCTGTCCTTTGGGATTGGAAACAGGTTGTGTTTCCAAGACTACAAAATCTACTGGAAAAATAAAATCTCCAGCCTTAATCAGAACATCCTCTAACTCACCCATAGGGACCTTGACAGATCTATCAGCCAACTGTAAGGTGCA